GGCTCCCTCTCAGAGGCCTCTTGGTGACACAAAGATTGGTATTTAGATGTGTTGTGCAACAAGGCTGTGTAGGAGGCGATGGTGTTGCGTGCACTCAAGGTAACGAGAAGTGGCAGAGTCTGAGGCGTACCAGGTGAGCACTGCGAATTTGCAACGACAGAGTGCCCGTGGGCCTTGGCGAGCCAAGCTGCGCCCTCGCCCCGTTCAAGAGAGTTTGGAAATCTCAAGATGACACCGACGTGTCGAAGACGACGAAGTAAGCCTGCTCCGAGTCCGACGGCGTAGTTGAGAAGGCTGTGCTAGGCAGCGGAGGGGTTGGGCGGCGGCAAAAAATCCACTTCCAAACTAACAGAGTCTGGAGTTGCAGAGGACGGTATTCGGCTCTCAAGTCTGTGCGGCCATCATGGTTTTGTTCTAATCGTCACAGAGTTGATGATGAGAGACGAAGGGGTAAGAGATTTCAGAAGTGTCTGAGATATGCTGGCGATGGCGCCTAGAATCTCAAGACCAACAATCGAGGGTGGCAGTGCTCTCAGCGACTGCCTTTCTTGGCAAGATCAAGAGGAGATGAAGTCAACCGAGACTCCACAGGGAAGCAATGGATTGGTCAAAGTGAGGGACTGATAGGTTGCAGGAGAGAAAAAGTCGCGCTTCACGATTATCACAGCAGCATCTGGCGGTCTTGGCGGAGCAGCAGTGGGTTGGAAAAAGTCTTCCCACGGGATCGAGAGGGGAAGGAGGGAAAGCCATTTGAGGAGATCCGGAGAGATAGAATGACGTGCCGGTCAATTATTCTCACATCCTGGGCTTGGCCGAAATCATTGGCAAGAGATTGGCTGGGCATGGCGAGAAGGGAGGTAACCGCCAGCGGTCTGGGCATTGAGGCTGTGCAAAGGAAAAGTGCAAAAGGTCCCGATGAGGGAATTTAATATGGAGCAGCGAGAAGCGAGCTCTGTTCAGTGGAAAAGTAGAGGTCGAGTCGGGGCCATCCTAGGACCGCAATGAGCAATGGCGAGTCGGAAACAAACAAGGGGTAAATCTGGATGGGGAATGGAGATTTAACAGCACATTGGCAACTCTGCCCGAGTGCAAATGTCAAATGTTTGGACCCCTTGGCGGGTTTGTTGATGCAAGTGCCGGGTCCTTATCACGTTCTTTGGTTCGGAGAAGATAGGTGACCATACGCGGGAGATAGTCAGGCCAGACACTTGTAGACGAGACCGAGGACCGCAGCCGGAGATGGCGTCCGACACTTGGGGGTGGCGGCCCCATTCTTTCGCATTCCCCAAGACTTTGGCGGCGTTCCATTCGGCGGGTGTGAATGAAGCCGTTGGATAAGGTCTGTTCTCCATCCCGATCGGTGGCCCGGCGTTGGTTCAGATATGATGGGCCAACGCCAGTCGTCTGGCGCTTGCCAAGGTGACCAAGGAGTCGAGATGGCTCGCCGATGGAGTAGGCTCGTTCCTTTGGTATTTCGCGCGTTTCCCGTGGCTTCCGTGCTGACAAGAGCGAGCAGGCTGCGAAAGGAGACCACATCGGCTTCGATGAGGCAAGCGGCCGACCGGTGCCACAACCGACAGCAAGGTACGGAGATGCACGGAGACGTATCGGTCGGCGACGACGGCGACAAAGTTGTGGGTAGCATGGAGACGGAAAGTGGTGGCACAAGAAGAGACAGGAAGGGTGGCAGATTCAAAAGCTCCTCGGAATGACGCCCGTCCACTGTTTAGACCTTGGGGGCCGTCATGTATCCGTATCCGAGAATTTGTTCGAGAACGTGGAGGTTGGTGTTTGTTTCCACCACAGTGGTTCGTGCCATGGATGGATGGATGGATGGCCTGTGTTTCCGAGGTGTTCGTTTGCGTCGAAACAGACTCGCTTTGAGCCGATTAATCGGCTCCTGTAGCATTCCCGGGCGTATCTGGCGTGCATTGGTGATGATGGCGGTAAGTGAAAGGGAAAGAATTGGCGATGGTGGAGCAGAGGAAAAGAAGGTGAAAGTGAGCAAGTCAACGCGCCAAGAAAAAATTCGAAAGGGAGCAGTCGCGATGCCAAATGTCACAGTCGAATCAAGCTCGGGGAGGTGCGCTAGTGAGCGCCAAGAGTGGCTGTACACTGCACCTGCACAGCTTCCCATTGGCTCGCTTAACGCAGCCAAGGGAGGCCGCCTCCACAAATCACTTGTTTAGGTAAGCAGTACCTGCAAGGGTGGCACGTCCGTCCTTCCGTTGCGGGATCCCGCCCGTCGGGTCGGCCAATGACACTTTCACAGTCTGACGAGAGAGCTTCCTTCCTTCCCTTCATCAAGTCCGAGGATGCAACGTTCATCTCCTCTTGCCGCTCCTTCCCTGTTGGCAGTTGGCCGAGGGTGAAACGGAACGGTACCGCTTGCCTGCCGGAAAGCGTGAAACAGGCACTTGCTCTTGAAGCTTGTGAAGATGTGAGCCAACACTGATTGTTTAGGTGAAGGTGGAGAGATCTCTGTCATGGATCGTGGCCGACATACCATTGATCTCTTCTGGTTTGTAAGCCTGCCATCTGTACCTGATTTTCGAGGTTGCAATCGCTGAGAGGACCGCCATCAGTTGCTATGGAAGGCTCTCACTAACGGGTCCAAGAATTTTCAATGCAGTCATCGCCCACTTGGCGTGCATCACGTTGACCCAAGTTGAAGTCGATTACAGTCTTGCGCTGAGACACTTCGGACCGTCTAATATGCCCTACCAAGTGCCTTGCCATATCCGCGGCAATTATAATATGTCGCCTTGAACTTTCTTTTGTTGTCTAGTCTTTTGTACCTTCGACTGCATTATCGGCATTTCCGTGATCCTTTTGAATCAAGTTTGATTCTCAATACCGTCCTTAATTGTTTGAAACAGTTCTCATAACACAGTGAGGAGGCTCAGCTCAAAGTTAATTTACGCCGATCAGTAAAACCCCGAAGCAAACATTCAACTGCCTTGATGTGAGAACCGTTACGACCACGCGTCAAAGCGCGTGGCTGCTGTTCTCGGTCACGTTACCGAAAGATCGTAAATATCAAGCCATGTTCCATTAGAGTCTCGTATTTAAACACCCTTGGAAGACTTCGTAGCGCTTGCCCCGGACAACATGGCTGTTCCGGGAGCACGAGAGGTGTCAGGTTTGAGCCCATGTTCAGTCTTGGTCAAATCTCACATCGGCGTGCCTCGAAAGACAAGCAGTAGTTTTACACCCTGATCGTCAACCGTTGTCGTTTTCGCTGCGAAAACGAGACGACCTGTTTCACATGCGTCCCCACGCAACTACATTAACACCGGCTCACCGAAGCTAGACAACACTGCCCCAGCAACGAAATGTCAACGTAACCAGACCGCAGCATCGGGCTCTCTTCAACGATATTTAACCTCTCATGAAGGCTTGTAACATAGTTCAGGCTTGCACATGATGGTCCGCTCTCCAATCTGCCTCCCAAGTCGTCGTCCTCTTGCGCAACGACAAGGTGGCTTAACGTGAAAAGTCCTCACCAGCCACACCTTGTCGTCGTCACAATGAGGCTGGAGTTGTCACTTGGAGCTTTGGTTCTTTTGTCTTAACACGTCAGAGAAGTCGCAAAGCCTTTTCATGACCCGCGATGTCTTGGCACCCAAGTCTTGCGTCGGCAGCACAGCAATATCCGCCCAAGGAGGCTTATTGTCGCCCCAAACAAGCGCCAAGCTAACCGACTTGTTGAGCGGCGGCCTCTCTGACAGTTGCGAATACTTGGGCTGTGGTGTTGCAAAGTCCATCCTCTCACCACTCACGGCGGTACACGTGAGATGTACCGGGAATGCCAAGACCCACTGATTGCAGCACTGCCCGCCTCCAAAATGTGCACTGCCTCTTAATTCACTGCATAATGACGTTAAGTGTCTGAAATGAAGTACTTGCGTCTTTTTTTGCGCGGTGCTTTTGTTGCGTGCTTGGCGCGTTTGTGCGAAATATCAGTTGCCCGAGAGAGAGCCTTACATCTTGGTTGCGCTAAGAATGAGGCGCAGTTGGGGTAACTGCAGAAGACTGATTGAGATGTCTGGACTTTGAGCATTCTGGAAATCTCTGCAGTTATCCGGTGGATGAATGGTGAACCTTATGCTTCCGTAATGTTTTACAACGAGTCTGTAATCGCACGGTCGCTTTCTGAGAGCGGGCTGAATAGGAAGTCGTTCAGACTCATAACCATGTGCGGGGATGGCTGAGGGACATAGGCCGTGACAACTGCGAAGGCATGGAGTTGGTGTCTTTGCTGACTGCGTCGAACAGTGGGTATTGGGGATTGGAGACCGCGCGGTTGCTATTGTGACGGACCATGCCATAATTCCCTTGGAAGACCGTCACTGCTTTCATTTTGATTGGCAATCATGGGGCTTCAATGAAGTGCTAGAAGTCTCATCAATTAAGTTTTACGATGCTTACTTGGCTAGGTACTTGATCTATTTCTCAACTTATTTCTGGGGAAAACATAAACATGCCAGAGGCGCGCCGATGCTGCAGTGCCGTGTTAGTGTAGTCATCCTTCCTGTCCGACTTTAGGCCTGTATCTTCCAGCTTGGCGACTCCGGGTGACTACTTCCAGAAATCTCGAACGCATATGCTTCAAAGAGAAGCAAATCTTAGGAGAAAACGAGACAACTCCTTTACCGCCCCCCCTTCCCAAAGAGCCGTAGGCAAATGACGCGCCGCTGTGTCCTTATCAACGCAAACCAAATTCCTTCGGTTCGCGAAGAAACCGAGAAAGCTCATCGTCCATACACCCATCTACGTATATATCGCCGATAAACTCATACTTTTCCTGATCGTTTGTAGGTCGAATAACAATTGGAGTTGAGCATCCATCGGCGATGATAACGAAATCGTCAGCACTCATGTACGCTGTTCCCATGCCCATGTATCCCTTGAGGTCCTCGCTCTCGATGAGGCAGAAACATCGGCCCATCATACGGTCTCCGAAGTATTCCTGCAGAAACTGACGTCCCCTTTTGAATTCACGCCCCTTCTTCTGGTGCAACAGCAGTTCTTCGTCCAGAGGTAGTCTTCCCAAGCGTTCTCCCAGGAATTGAGCAAAAAAGATCAAACGTAGCACGTCGCCATGGATCCATTTGCCGCAACCCAGTATCTGAAGACACTCCCTCAACATAAACTTCTGGAGGTCCTACCAAGTCGTACTGTCCATTCAATGTGGCATAGACATTTTCCGGGACATCGCCCAGGCACAGAGTCCTGCAGAATGCTTCTGTGTGGCTTTCTCTATCATGCTCATAGTCATGTAGAAGGTGTCTCCACTCCAAGAAAGCCATGAGGTAGTCGGAAAGTCGGCCGAGCGTGCCAACAGCCATACCTCTTGCCGTTATAGTACCAATTTGGATCCCGCTTACTCGCAGCTCACCTCCGCTAAATACTGGCGGCTTTACCGAAAGCTCTAATTTAATTTCAGCTGGGCATGCCCGAAACGGGCGGCGATGTGAAAGATGAGTTGCGGCAAGTGACAAAGTGTCAGGGGAATGAGACCAGTCCGGCACCCAGCTTGGCAAGCCAAAAGAATTCTGGTGGAAGGGGTAACGGATAGATTCGCAAATGACGTCCAAAGTTCTTGAGCATTTGATGATGCAGACGACAATTTCCGTGAAGACCTCCTGTGTTGTGAGATGGAAGTTGGGTTGAAACATCGACCTGACATCTTGTGGTAGAAGGCTCAAGACGCCGAGAATCTTATCTTGAGGTCGAGCTGCGAGTTTACTCCTGCATATGCGCAGGACTTCCAGAGCCTCGTGTCGTAGGAGTGTGAAAGGGGAAAGCAAAGTGGTCGGGCCCTGCGTTGTCAGCGTTTGCGCGTAGGAGTAGTGATTCTCCGAAGTCCGGATGACTTTCCCGGCAGGAAAATATCTCTCAATATCGTCCGATAAGCTCTTGAAAGCTTCGCACGCAGAGAAGATAGTATCCAGAGGCATATAATCTGAACCACAGTAGACATCGGCTCGCTTGGCGTGAAAGACCTCCTGCATGACCCAGAGTCGTTTCCAATAGCTTCTCTCGAACAAGCGAACAACAGATGACATTCGTTTTTGATCTCTTATAAATTTCGAGTCCAAGGTATTTGTGCGGCTCCAATCAGAAACGCTTTTCATAAATTCGAAAGCTACTTTGCTGCTGTCGATTTCTGATTGGGGTCCCAGGAAAATCGCCACGGTATCAGCTTGACTGTAGATGTAATCCATGATTTGGACCTGGGCATTGACCTCGTCGACATCGCGTTGATTGATTGATAATGCATCCGCCCAGATCCAGACCGGTTTATTGCGTTTCCTCAAGGCCATCAGGGCATGCCATAAGCTAGTCGTAATGCGAGCGGTCTTTCCGTCTATTTGCATGGTTGAAACATCCTTTCGATCCCCCCACGCATAAGATATTGCAGTGTACTTCGGCGAAGATGCCAAGTTATACGATAACAGAGATCCCTCAAGTGATCCTACATCGGATTCTGAAGATGAAAGACGCAGTAGTCTGATCTCTCTTGAGCGAAGACGGTCATGACTTTGAGTTGTTGAATAAACAGTGTGGCTGGACATTCCGTCCCTCAAGGCCGCAGGTTCTGGGGCATCCAGAACATCCGTAGTAGACTTTGAGCGGGGCTCAATACGCTTAGGTAAAGCTTCGGGCGTCGAGGACAGTATATCGCCAGAAGTCTGCAGTCTCTGCCTCAGCGGTGCGGGTCTTTGATACAATTTGCTGTGGAGTGAAAGACTGGTTAAGAACCTGATCATGAGCCGTCTCCCGCGGGAAACATCTTGGCGATCGTCTTCCCCCGTCATCATGCTCAACTTTCGAGGTGGTCTTGCTCGGGAGAGATGCGAAATTGTTGGAAGTCTTGATGGGACGAGTGTGAGAAACCCACAGAAATCGGTACTGCACTCCCATCTATATTAAAACTAAGGGACGGGCCAAGCTGGGGGTAACTGGTGAAATAGCACCTCTGGTGGCTGCACGCTGTGGTGAAATGTCTTACAATGAATTCTCCTTTTTCCAGATCCCACGCATCAGGACACTTGTCAAAAGACCATTGGTCGACCGTCTGTTCTCTCTGATTCATTGAATACCCGATCTCTGACTGCGTATTGCATGTTGAGCGACGCAGCCGGTCAGCAATGGCCGCCATTGATCCGTTTCCTTCCCCTCGGCAAGGCTGTGTTACGGAACTAGGCATTCTCGTCTATCTTGGCGCACTAAAGGGGTACTCCTATTTGTTATTGGACAAATGATGTCCTCTCCATAGATGTATTTGCATAAATACATGTGCGTTTGCTTTGAAGCATACCTATGTAGCGGGCTTCGAGTGTCAGAAATTGTTAATTCTAAAATGCTTGATGTTGTTGTTGATTACATTTTCTTTTATCTAGAGGGGAATAATTCAATAGTTCAATGGCCCTACATGTGGAAGCAGCCAAAACCATCAACGACTTCTGTATTCATGCATGTTATGGTTCCTCGCCTTCTCATCATCTCATGTTCTTGAGATCTTATTGCTCCAATGAATTGCCCTGCCACCTGGCAAGGACGATTTGATTGCCTGTATAATCTGACCATAGCCTAGCGATGACTTTATACAACCGAAAGATCGACGATACGATACAACATCTGCAGAAAAACGCAAATGTTTGAGGTACTCAGTAGCAGTAGCGTGCCACTTCTGCGAATAGGGTGAAGCAGAAGGTCCCGCCCACTCCGCGTCAATGCAACTTAAAGGCCGCAGCACTATCGACAAGCCTGCGTTCTGCTATTTTCCGGAGTGTATTACGCACCACCAAACGTTCCTAAGAACACCCAGCTGACATTTCGATCTGGCCTTTTGAGTGTCAACATCCAGACAAACTGACTGATTCTGCGTAGGGATGCCAGGAAAAGACTTTAAATTCAGCCTCTTTGCCGAATCAAGCGCAGTAATGGTACAATTGCCCTTGCTTCAAGACTTCTAATAAATTTGACGCGTCTTTACATAATATACTACCTCAATTCAGGGCACTTCATAAGCCGTATGTCTCTTTAATACACGATTGTGGTAGTTTCGACTATAAAGACACCATCAGCATGTATTTCTGAAAACTCCCAGAAGCAATGATGCTTGAAAATCTGTATCTGACGTAGGTCTTCAGGCTAAGGTGCCAAACACAGCCGCTGGACCATGATCAGACGTATTTCATTCTCAAGCAAACCAGACGCAGCTGGGAGCATCAACAACGTCCCTTCAGACCATCCTGTCCGTCATTGGTGCCGTCCCTAGTTTATTTGGCATGCGAAATATCTCATAGTCAAAGTTTGAGGTCCTTTTCAGCTACTGACGTCGACGCAACGTTGAAAGGCGAATGGATTCGCTTCGATGTTGTTAGCTAACAATACTCCATGTGCTCGATGTATGCGATTGTGTAGAGAGTCTCGACAATGATAGATTCTCCCATATTATTTATACCTTTCTCGGCGTTCGATTCAAATAGCTGTGCATGTTGAACAGATAAATACGAATTCACCTCTCCCATTGCCTTCATCTTGTGCCAACGATAAATCCGAGTTGTCAGTGTTATCTTTGGCAATTTCTCAAACCTGACCACGAGCGAGCCCCGGCATCCTCCTAAGCGCCGGTCGTTATCACGATATTGCTGACGAGCTTATAGCGCCTTTCTGTCATCCTGCATCGTCCTTTCCCGTCTATAGAGCATTGAATAGACGCCATCCAAAGGATTTCGGAAATTATCTCTCGGCATAACGATATGGTACATTCTTGTCTGAACAACTGTAGCGGCGGAACGTGTCTACTCAATCCCGCATGAAGTAGGTACCTACAACGCGTATACTTGTGTCTATACGGATGACACATAAATTAATCAGTTCCAATTTATAGGCCTGAATCATCCAGAAACTAATACTAAAAGCCATTCGCTGCGACGAACTGCTACTTTAGCTCAGCGCACTCGGCACGCCTCACTTTTGGCAAGGCCGGGGATTATAAAGTCGATCGACCCATGGCATATACATTCATCATTCAATCCTTGTCGTTCGCTTTCTGAGCCTGAACAGCTGGGTCGGTGTTGCACACACAATTACATTTGCCGCCGCAAGGTTTAACTTGTTGCAGCTGCCATCTAGACTGGCGTCATCTTCATCCATCATCTCTCAATTATTCGAGAGGAACACGCCAACAAAGTCCAAGGACATGCCCTCACCACATCAACGTGTAATAAGATCACCTCTACACCGCAGCTGGTTGGGAGTCCCAGGGAAAAGCACTACATCTTGCTCTGGAACGGTATTTCTCAACCACGATCATTTTGTTTGACGATCCATGTTAATAACAACTTAGTGATATTTATATCATAACCCGTTTATCATCCATAACCGGCTGCGGGAAGGACTCGCTGCAATGCCATACTTCCTCTTTCACCTCCGTCCTCGTCTCCACCACGGCACGGGTCCATCTCCGTCCGGCTCCTGCCCATTTCGGACATCTGGGCTCCGGCGCACGGCATTAATTTCACAACTTTAAGCCAAAAGGGACATCCCGCGAAGCATTCAAACATTATGCATTACTATTCCCAAATCCCTCCTTAATCCTCATTCTTCATCCCCTCCCCCTTCACATCGTCCATCTAAAGCCTCTCATCCATCATCTAAGCCGCACAAAGCGTCAACGTCACATCCCCATCGCTCCCACAAACCTTCACCTGGCTGCCCCCGGGGTTCGTTCCACTACCCCACACAATCTCGCCACACCCAGCCTTCCCCTTGACCGTGATCTTCTTCCCCGCGAATGCGTCCCCGAACACCGTGCTCAGATCGTACCACACTTGGCTCCCGTCGAGGTTGTACGCGAAGTTCAGCTGCGCGGCGCCCGTGTACAGCCCGTCCCGCGCGTTTGTGACTTTCAGCGACTTGCCGCCGGTGGTGGCGTCCCGCACAAAGGTCTCGCCGTAGGAGCCGCCGTTGGGCGAGAGCGTATTGGCCGCGGAGACGGAGCCGCCGACGGACCAGAGGGTGACTTCGGTCGGGCAGCGGTTGACGACGACGGCGCGGCCGAGGGCGTCGGCGCCGAGGGCGAGGGTGAGAGGGAGGAGGAGGGATGAGAGCTGCATTTTTGGTGGTTTGTGTTGGTTTGGTGGTTTTGAGAAGTTGAGAGTGCGGTGATTGAGATTGTGAAGATGTGGACGAGAACGGGAGGTGTATTGTTGAAATCTCCGTGGACTTATATACCTGGAGAATAGCAGCAATGACGTCGGAAGAGACTTCAGGACATCGTCGGCTTCCTCGGGCGATATGCCCTACAGCCCCAGACCCAAGACAAAATACGAGCGGTCGATCCGTACCGTCATGACATTTCCCAAACAGGTCGACAGGCCACAAAAACCTCACACCGACAACACCACTCGCCTCCAGCAGTCCAGACGATCACCCTCTCAAAATCGCCGAACCAAGACAAACCCACCCCAACAAACCACCCACGATGTCACGACACTCAGGACGAACACGAGGCTTAGTAGATGAAAAATGACGGTGTGGGATCGCCATCACCAAAATCATCATAACCGCGTGACGAGCGGAATACGAGATTTCTGCGCCTGCATGCAACGTCGGCTGCGGAGCCGCTCAGCATTGGCATTGCCGTTTGTGGGCGCGCTTGATTTCCCCTCCTCTCCTCCCAGTGGGCTGACAAGATGGGTCAGATCTGCCGCGCCTTTCCCCGCATCTCCGGCGCGGCTCTCGGAGGCATCTGCAAGCTGTGCCTCATCATGCTTATTCGTACCCGACGACTGCGAGAGGGGAGGGGCGGACGAAGCTAGCGCCGGGCGGGATGGGCGACTCTTCCTTTGTCGTGTCCGAAATAGCATCTTCTCAGCTTTCAGCTGAACACGGCATTTGACAACATCAGAGACACTTGACGTTGAAAGTCAGACATGCATGGGACGGTTTAGCCCTTGCTTCAGCTGAGCTTTCTGCTGTTGGGCAAGGGACGGAATATGGCCCCCAACACATCTCGACGAGGACTGGTGAGCTGGGCGGGGTTCGTCCAGGAGCTTAGCGTGGACGCCAAGCATCGTACCACTCCAGGTAACGTTGCGGTGGTAAATTGGGGTACAAACAGAATTGGTATTAGAAGGTAGAAAGATCAAGTTCTTGTCGGGTATATTCACGTTCCGTCGTCCCAGTTGCGCCGATTGCGCCAGCATTCCCA